AAATTTAAATAGTTGTTATTCGAGTGAGATGCTAAAATTTTTCTAAGTGTCGCGGGCTGCTATAGTGCGGAGCCAAAACCATTAAAAATTATGCTATTAGATTTGTTTAGAAAGAAAGCATGTTGGATTCCTCACCGAAATGGAGTATTTTAAAATCAATATATAAATCAGGAGAATTTTGGTAGCACTTATTAATATCTAACTTGACCTCTGCGAATGTCCGGCTGAATGTCCGGCTAACTTCAGCGTCATGAGCCCAACGGGTCGGGTCGCTGGTTCGAACCCTGCAGTCGTCACATGTGAATTGAGTTTGTTTGACGTGTTGTTCTCTCCTGTACTACGAGGGTTTACTCCGGGTTCTCCGGTTTCCTTCCTCCGTAAAAATCAAGTGAGTTGAGCGTTGTATGCATAGAACATTGAATGTAGTGGTAAGTGAAGTGTCCGAGTGGAACGATTTCACACTTCAATGAAAGTGATTAACTTAGTTATTTATTTTATTAGGCATGCATCCCCTGTTTGCTATGAATGAACAAATGTAGATGACATGATAAACAGCTAGACACTGATATTTTGAATGAGTGACTTTAGATTTGTGTGACACATAACAGCACACGTCGCTTTTGAAGCTTTTTTGAAACTTAAACTTTGCCTGGTTGCTTCATAGCAGCAAGCACTGGGGTGCTTTGTTATCATCGGATGTTTTCCAAAGAGTATGGAGTCAAATAAGTATCTCTGGGTTGGAGTAGTCTGGCCTGAGAAACTTGGTTTTCTGTGTTTTTGAATGAATCTCAGGATGAATGTTATATAGATTGTGCTTCTGTTTTGTTCGCTACTGGATATGTATTATCAAGTTAATAAAGATTATAACTATTATTAGATCCCAACTTGCAAAAAATGTAAAGTATTTAAAAAATTGGCCGCATTACATCCTAAAGCAAACCGGGAAATTCTATGTCATTTTATACTCTTACATGAAAGATTTTAAAAATGTACAAAATCATCTACCATAGGGAATTTAGATGTGACAAGATATTAATGTTGGTGTTAATAAAACGTTTCTGAAATGGCAAGCAATATTACATATGCATGAAAATCCTTTCTAGGAAAACCTTGTTTACAAGCAGTGCTATTGGTCCATTGGATGACCTTTGAGCCATCTGGATAAAGAATGTTCGAGAATTTTTTAATGATACAGTGGAACCCCGTTAATAAGGACACCGTTGGGACGGACAAAACTGTCCTTATTAACGGGGTGTCCCTATTAACCGAGGTGTCAAAAAAACAGTTGAAAACACATTTTTAACCATTTATTTTTACTGTACTTTAAAGCTTGAACTACAGTGTTCAATATAACAGCCTAAACTAGAACAAAAAGTGCATTACTGTCAAGAACTACATTTGCATTTACTGCACTGTATTGTACAATTTCATTTTGAGTTGAGTTCTGGAAAATAACAATGCAATGGTATTGCGAGCTTTGTCTATTTCATTATGCTGTAATAGGAAACTCTACTGCAATGATCAGTGTGTGGTACTCCGATACGCAAAAACTGACAATAAAATCCGTATTCAGCTCATTATATCAATAAACAAATTCAGTAAACACGTCTTCAAATTTCAAGTGTCCTTAATGCGGGGTTGATTTTGTATGGAAACTGTCATTTAGGTCCTAGAAATGTGTCCTTTGTACTTATTAACGGGTGTCCTTATAAAGCGGGTTAATTTAACAGAAAATGTATGGAGCTTTCGTTGGGACTTTGAAACCTGTCCTTAATAGCGAGGTGTCCTTATTAAGCGGGTGTCCTTAGAGCGAGGTTCCACTGTATTATGAAAGTGAATAACGAATTCATAAAGCCACAGAAAACAGATCTGAAAGTTTGACAAATGGTAAAACTTCTGAAGGTTTATTGTGGAGTAAACTTTATATTTTTGCTGTCAGTTGATGCAATGAACGACCTCCAGTCATCAGCAAAACAAAACAATTTATTATAATTTCAGACTATAGTTTCTCGAGCTGTAATTGATCGAGTGACCGGAGACTCTGAGATGATAATCATCGTTGATTGAGGTTTTCCAAAGTTTTCCTGATTGGAGATAATTTTTTAAATCCTGAATTTCGACTTTTCTCTGATTTTCAAGTATAAATTTATACAAATTAATTATTCCCCTCAGGCTCAGGCCCCGTCCACTCTATGCCGGATAAATTTGAATCCGAATTTTTGTTTATTCGATTAGGCCTACCGTCCACACTAGTTCGGGCGAATCCGGAACAATTCTTCACCGAAAACGAATTTTCGAAATGGAACCGAATAAATAAAAATTCGGATTCAAATTTATCCAGCATAGTGTGGATGGGGCCTCAGTGATTATGGTGATATTTACCTTGCTGCCTGAAGACTCGTGGCTTGGTAAATATTCCACTAATATTCACTTCTCCTTTTCACTTCGCCTTTGGTGAATAATAATTGTTAAATATTCACTGTGCTTTGGTTGAACAAATTACTAACAATCGCACCATTTTTATTTAGACTTCAAACTAGTATTATTTAAGAATTAAAGAAAAAAATTATTGTGGAACTGTTATAAATTATACTCATCTATTTGTATCCTCTTGCAAAATATAGTTTTTTAAAAACTATTGTATTGTTAAACAGTAACTGTGAATGGAGTTTAATTGCCCCATTTCTGAAATCCTTATGACATCACATAAAAAATCTTTAGGAACTGTGAAAGGATTTTAACACAAATTATTGTTAGCATTGTTGAATTCATCCCATGGCTACATCAACTTTAGATGAAACCTTCTTACAACCAGAAGTTGAAAAAAGTTGAAAGTCCTGAGGAAAATAACTCATCTCATCTGTTACATCAGTGACCATCCTCTCTAGTACAATATATCCTTTGGTCTTCATGTCTCTGCGTACACATTGTTTTACATGAGATCTCTCCAGTGGTAGGAATGGAACAAAGTAGTCTATCACTTCAGATTTTAGAAGTTCATTGTACCATGCATTTGGATTTGTCTCTGCATATCTGTGTAGTAGCCCTTCGAGGCTGACAAGGTCAATAGTCTCTCTTGCATATCCTTGTTTGTAATGGTCTAATACATATTTGTTTATCAGTTGTCCACCAGAATTGGAAAGAAAAAGAAAAACAAATTTATTCAAGTTAAGAGAAGATTTCAATCCTCTTGTATCAAGAAATGGCTTCAAKATGCTCACAAGCCCATCTGGAACCTTATCCATCTCGTCAAAAATAAACAGGCCTCCTTTGTTGCACTCAGTAGCATTTCCAATGATCCATTGTCTCAGTTGTTGCCTGTAGATTTTAACATCACCAACATGTGGGAAATGTAGTGGGACAATAAACTTGTGAATATAACTACTCTGAGCTCCATRTTTGAAGAGATGTTTGGCAATGATTCTGCTGACGTAGTTTTTTCCTGTCCCTGTCCAGCCATGTAGTGACAATACCAATGGTTTGTTTCTCTTTCCTTGGACGTGGCTCTTTAATGATGATAGCAGCACCCTTCTTGCAAGGTGCTGTCCATAGAATTCTTGTTGAAGATCTTTTTCAAGYCCTGTGAGGTTGACCTGAAACTCACTTTGAAGACACAAGCCAAGAGGATTGGAATTTAGATGTAAATAAGATATCATTACTATGAATAACCCTAGCAAGCTGAATATTATTATTTTTGCTTGTTTTTCAATCTGTAGTGATTTATCCACATTCRTTGTAGCTTCATATTGATCTTTAGATGGCTTTGTACCTTCCATYTTGTCATCATCATCATCATCACTAAAATAGTTTAAGCTAGACCCATTAGATGGATGCTTATTTTCCATGTGGCGCTGTCGGCATGGCAACTGATTATCAAGGGTACTTTTACAGTCTTCATAAAACGAAGTGGTAATAGAATCATTATCCTCATCATCAGTAATTTCTATTACATCATTTTGTCCTTGGTTTTKGAGTTTTCCATCACACTTTTCATCTTCTACAATGAATTCTGAATACAACATTAACTTGGATTGTTGGCTATTTTGAGTCCTAACATTGGATCCTTTRCTATCAATAGTAATATCAGGTAAGCTTTCGTTCCATGGAAGGGCTAGAGTGCTATACTCCGGKGGAGGTGTRTTKGGAATAYCATYATCATCATCAATGMCAACATTATTAATCCCATAGATGTTTCTATGGTGACCACTTGGTTTGCTTTTCTCCTTTTYTTTGGGCCAAGGGAGGGATMGTGTAGAGTAATGTGATATCGGATTTATTATACTCCTATTATCTTGACATCTATTTGCTAYTTTAGCTCGTCTTAACTCTTCAGCTCTGGCATTTTTCGTCAAGTCAATGTCTTTAAGTCCTACAGCTCTCATAGGTCTGCCAACTACAAGAGATTTAGAGCTCGCTCCTGAGAGAGTATACTTGCTATTATACTGAGGAGATTTCTGTTGAGCATTGCTGGCCATCACACTTGATAACAAAGGAGTTTTAAGGATAAACTTTGGTCCTTGACTGTTTGTCCCGCTTAAATTCTTGATGTCCAYCATGCAATCTGTCTCCATTGCTACGTTCTCTTCGTCAGATTCAAAGTTTGGGTCTGAATCATCGCTTTTAGGACTCCATTTAGTGCTAGTTTGATCCCTAAACCAAAAGGAATCTGGTGTTTTAGAAGAAGACTTTGTCCACCTGCCGTACTCTGATGACATTTTTTACGACTCAGGAGAAGAAATGAACCTTTGCTTTACAGCAGAAGTATCAACAGGTTTTTAAGCAATGTTTCAGTAGAGAAAATAGATCTTAAAACCAGACATAGCAGCATTTAAATGAAGTATTCTCGAAGGATCTCGTCTTCTCCAAGGACAAAAAATTCAGTTACCATCGTTCCGCCATTTTGATAATAGTGCCCAGGCTACACAGTGGACCACAGGAAGCCCAAATCATTTCCTTCGCTTCCCGTTTCAATCCCATTTTTCGCAAGAAAAAGAATAAAATAAAGAAATCTCACGACCGCGTTTATTGGAAGATGCTTTATTAATAACTCAAATTATATAAGAAGACATTATACGAGTTACAGATTCATTAAAGGATTCAAATTTGTTATTATACGATCTGGAGCGATCCCAGATCCATTGGCGTTTGAGTCTTTATATCTATCAACAAGATAAGCAGACATGCCTACATTTATCGATGGATAATAATCGAGATTAATATTATCTCCAACATGTAAAGCCTCTTTAGGACTCGCTCYACCTCGTTCAAGAGCGAGCTGAAATATCTCAAGCGATGGTTTAGCAATTTTAACTTCAGTAGAACACAAAACGAATGAAAAATATTTGATCAAATCTAAACTGTCCAAAATCTTTGGTAGCCGTTCGTCAAAGTTTGACACAACTCCTAGAGTAAAGCCCTTGGATTTAAGATGTTGTAGTACTGTCTTAACCTCGGGGAATACATCCCACTTTGATGCATGAGTGAATTCTGTATACAGAAAGTTCGTAATGTCTTGAACAGCTTGCTCATCTTCACAGCCCACTTTTTTGAACGCTTTGCTTATCACTTTAAACCACCATTCACTAGTAGACATACCATCCCGAACTCCAAAATTGGGATATTTGTCGCGATAAATCGTATAAGATTTTCTAAATTCCCTGTCCAATACCTTGGCATCAAAGTTTAGGCCATATTTTTGAGCTGTTTTACAATAGAGTTCCCCAACACTTCCACGAACCCTAAGTAAGGTGTTATTCGCATCCAGAGTTATAAGTCGCAACATGGACATAATATAAAGCCCCAAATCCTTCAAACATCGAATAATTTTAACAGGCTTTTTGTCAGATATTTTAAAGCCCCAACGTTTATAAAGAGGCCATTTTGTATGTTTAAAAGACCAAAAGGAATTCTGGGTAAAAAATTAAGGAGGCTCGCGACGACTTCAGGAGACATGGTCAAAGATAAAAGCAACACCTCTTCTACTAGATAGCAGCCTTTTTTAGTTTACATCAACAGATAAAACAGACTTTTTAGATTTTTAAAAGAGTACTTTATTTAAGTCACAAGATGTACATTCCCAGGAAACTCATATATATATACAGTAGACAGTTCAAAAAGCAAATCATGTTACATTATATTCTTTAAGAATCGTTGTCTTCAAACTGTGATTTGTTTTTCAGAAGATAAGTGGCCAGATATTCAATAGCATTTGGTGGTCTGAAAATAAACAAAATATTAGTAAAGCTAGGCCTCAGAAGGACAGGDCATAGCATGATTTAGGAGAAAAAAGAACAATAAGCTCACCTTTCTTTTGACAAAGTTGCAAGGCCTTGAAGAAGAATAGGTACAACAGTTTGGTCAAGGTATGCCCTTGTTGGTAAGGACTGTAAGTCTACCTTTGGTTTTGTTGGTTTATCAACTTCTTCTTTTTCTTTTTCTATTACTTTCTACGATAAAAATGCTTTACACTCTTAAAAACTGTTATCATACCTTACAACAGAATATAGGGATGTTGGTATGCTAACACTCTTCTTGCACTTCMTAGGTCCAATCTTGCTGAGGGCATATTTTAGGGGAAAGGTTGCAYGAAGATGGCACCTGGTTCTTCAGGTAATGGAGAGGTGTAGGAATAATAGAAGCCCAACCCAAGTCCTTTAAAGAACTACTTGTCAAACAGACTACGAACTCTATAAGTTTGCCATTTGCAATGGCAACAGATAGTTGTGATCATTTTGCCCAACTGGATATGAAGATCGTTAAGTGRGTAAGGAAAGAAGGAAGAAAGAAAACCAACAGAAGTGATCTACCTGACCTTGAAGTGCAAGGTTGCAAACCAATAAAATATTTGGAAATTTCAAAATCAGAATTTACTCAACACAYATTGACATTTATCAAATTACTTTTAAAAATTTTAAATGGTACCCTTCTATTAATTAGTCTTAGGCTACCTGTAAGTTTTCAGTCAAGCCTATCTCGGCATGTGGAGATGTTTCCATTGCCTGTTAAATAAAAGATAAAAAAGGTAATGTTTTAAAAGATCATTCTGACTGGACTTTTTTGAGATATATATCAAAAACACTCATGAAACTCGGCTGAATTTAATTACAGCATAGTAAAAAAAAAACACTAAAGCAGTTAGACATAASCAGCAGACTAAATGCAACCATTTATATCTGGTGTGCTTTTTTTATGCTCAACTGAAGAGTGTGTATTTAAGTAAGATTCCTGGGKTTAGGAATTTTTGCCAAATCTATGTGTTTTAGGGCCATACACAAGCCAAAAGCATGGCTTAGGGAAAGGACTTAAACGAGAAATATCAAGAATGAAAAAGCCCAGGGGTGAGTTACAGATATTGGTGATTCAGATTGAATATTACATTGTATTTCCCTGTATTTTCATGTTCATATTTTAATTTAAGCTTATGCACAATTTTTATAACTTTGTGTAATTTTGGAAAAAAAAAAAAAAAAAAAGGAAAAAAACATATTAAAAAAAAACATAAAAAAGAACATACTAGCATTCCCAGAAGAAAACAGCTACAAAATTTCCTACATAAGCTAAAAAAATTCGTTTTGAAAGAAGCCACATGACAAATGAAAGTTAAAAATTTACCTCGGGTTTACTTTGGGAATTTTCCTCTGTTGGAGAAGCCTGTGGTGCTTGCTCAGACGCAGCTATATCAAAAAAAAGTTTATGTACTTTAAAGTAATAAAAGAAACGATAAAGATAGAAAAATTGGTTTGTTTGGTTGGTCTTGTCAAACTCACCTTCAGTGTCCGCCATGTTGTCTTGTCTTTTCTTAGTTACCAAGTGATCCCATTGGTTTCTGGGTAATAACAAAAATCTTTCACGGGCTTCCTGTGTCCGAGAATTCTATATTTTATTTTATTTTATTTCATTTGTACRACTTGGTAAATAACAATTAATCYTTTGTTATCTTTGTTTATGTTTAAAAATTTTTATTAAGCTCATCATTCATCAAWAATACTTTTATTTTTTATATAATCTCATCCAATCTGGTCATAGCAAAAGAGTTCCAACTCTACCGCCAAAAAATTGAACTTGATTTAAACCTTAGAGCCATTTGCACTATTAAGATTGTGAGTTGTTTTAATTTAAGATATTTTTAAAGGTTTAAGAAAGTTTGAGTTSAATTTACGACCCCAGTAGGGAAGGGTGGGGTATAGCATTGAGCCCTCTTTAGTAGTGTCACGTGATACCTTGAGGAGAGCAAGGCACACATCGGCCACCATGATGGTAAGTGAGTACCTCTAAAAARCAGCTGAGAAAAACTACCTTCTTTCTTCTAATTCCCTTGATAATCATCCATATTATTTATCCAACACAGGACGCTGCAGATAGCACGGATATACTTGAAGATGAAAAGGTAGAGAAGAGGAATTCTTGAATAAGTTCTGGTGTCTGTCAGTGATAGGCTGTGTTTCTTACCAACATTGTTTTCTAATTTTCCTTACATTTTTGACGTTTTTCTAGAGTCGAACTCAATCAGTTGACCTCTCCACGGATACATCACTTGTAGTGGATATCTCAGATGCTTTAAGTGAGAGAGATCGGGTAAAATTCACCGTCCACACGAAGGTAAAACMAGTCGTTTCTCTTTCGATCTAATGGCTGATTGACTAGATCAGAGGAGAGGGTGTATCATGTTCTACGACTTATATTTCTTGTTGTCTGTAGACTACACTACCAGACTTTAAGGAGAGTGATTTTAACGTAGTCAGAGAGCATGAGGAGTTTATTTGGCTGCACGATCGTTTGGTTGATAATGAAGAGTATGCTGGAATAATTGTAAGTGTATTTTGATTTATGGCAGAAGTCAAAAAGTTACTATATTAAATAAACAATATATTATAACTGTTTTAAGAGAAAAAGATGCAGTTAAAACACATTAAATATGCAGTATATATGCGTATTATCATCATTCATAATAAGAAACCTGTTGATAATGGTGATTTTATTGACAACTTTTTGATCTTGTATGTTTTGAAACCTTTTTCATTTTATTGATAAAATATAATTTAACTTTATTTATTATTCATAGCTGGTATTTGATGATAGAGTACAAACAATTAATCAGTGAAATACTAATTACTAAATAGTACAAAATAGTACTAAGTAAGCAATAGAAAACAATAGAATTTGCATAACATTGCACTATTTAGTAACACTAAAATTTCACGGCTATATTGTTTGCACTCTAGTTTTTGTGCTTTTGATGTGATGAATAAACTTATTAATTATAAAAAATTAAGTAAATACTGCATTTTTAATTGCATTAACTATTATTTTGTATAATTTATCATTTCATTGTTCATCTAGATTCCACCAGCTCCACCAAAACCAGACTTTGATGTGTCACGAGAAAAGCTGCAAAAGCTTGGCGAAGGTTGGTATTCAAAAATGAACACATGAATGATGTGTGAGTCCCTTCAGCTATGTACAAGCAGTTTATACTGTTGCTGGAAAACATAGGTGGTGTAGCAGTGAGAGTGCTTGCCTCTCACAAAAGCAAACTGGGTGCAATTCCCGGATTTGTTGTTGTACGTGGGTAAAGTTGCTTGTCAGTTCTCTCCTGCTTCAAGGGTTGAGTTTTTTGGGGGGTTCTGCAGTTTTTCTTCCTCTGCAAAAAGCAACTTCTAAATTCCAATTGGAATTCAGTAGATGAAGTGCTACTCTTTAGAAATGCCACTGTTAAATCCCATTCATATTTTATATTGTATATATTAGAATAAGAGTGTTTTGATTCTTCGATTGCAGGTGAAAATACTATGACCAAGGAAGAATTCCAGAAAATGAAACAGGAACTAGAAGCGTAAGTGAAATATACTTTATTCTGGTACAAATACTTTTGAAAATCCAGAAGTTCATAGTGAATAAAATCAATTTTTTGTGTATTCTTGTTGTTTTAGTGAATACCTTGCCACATTCAAAAAAACAGTTGCAATGCATGAGGTGTTTCTGACACGCATCGCATCCCATCCCAGTTTGAGAAAAGACAGCAATTTCAAAGTATTCCTGGAATACAAAGGAGAGGTAAAGACAGAATATCTTTGCTGCTTTGTCATTAATTTGCTCTTTTAGTGCATGAGTATTAAACTATCTGTGTTGTTATCAGTTGAATGTGCGTGGCAAGAATAAGAAGGAAAAACTAGGTGGCCTGTTCAAAGGTTTGGCAAAAGGAGTTGATGAAGTGCTTCTGTCAAGTCAAAAGGTAAATTGTGTACGAAACTAATGATGGAAAAAAAATATTAAGAACCAATGCTTAGTTCATGAGAAACAACAGCACCAGCAATAATGACAATTACAGCAATAACGACTGTAACAACTGTAACAACAATGCTATCCATAGTTACAACACAACACAAACACAAAAGCAAGAACAACCTTAGTAGGTGTAGCAACAGTGACAGCATCATTGGTGAGAAAAACAGCAACAACAGTAGTAGCAGTATTGTTGAATGCTTTGTTGCCAGAGAGTATACTGTATTTCCTCTATTAAGTCCCCTGCCCCCCTTGGGGCATATTGATTTTCAGTGCTTTTGGACTGGGTGCTTGTTAAGGGGGGGAGGGGGTTAATATTGAAATACGACAAATAAAAAAATTGAAAAAAAAAACACATAAAAATTGTTCATTTTCTTCTATTATCAGGATGTTGATGAGTTCTTTGAGAATGAGAAGAAGTTTCTCGTAGAGTACCACAATAAGTAAGCTGCTATTTTGGAGTCTGACAGAAAATCTTGCATCTTCTATTGGATCAGATTACTGAGTACTAATCTAACCGTTGTGCCAATTTCTCAACATAGACTGAAGGATGCTACACGTAAAGGAGACCAGATGACAAGATCCCATAAGAATTGTGCAGATACTTTTATCAAGATTTCAACAGGAGTAGCAGCTATGGGCACTAGCGAGTACACTGGTTTAGACAAGTTTCTCAATAAATCCGCTGATTACTTTGAAAGAGCTCGCAAGCTCGAGGGAAGAGTGGCTTCCGACGAGGACCTTAAACTTGTAGACTTGTTACGGTATTACCTGAGAGATACTGAAGCTGCCAAAGATCTTCTTTACCGTAGAGCCAAGTGCCTTTCAGAATACGAGAATGCCAACAAGACTTTGGACAAGGCTAGGTTAAAAAATAAGGAAGTTGCTGCTGTAAGTAGTAGTCAAAAGTTTTATAGTTTTTTGAAAATCCTAAGTGAGGGTTTTCATCACAGTCCTCACTATAAACTTGTAGTGAGGAAGGCTGTTCATGGTATAGTAATGAGATAAGGGTAAATTTTACACCATGAAAAGATAAAAAACTTACTGGCGTTTTGGACGCTAGTCCTTTGTCAGAGTACAGGAGTATAGTTCATGGTATAGGGAGCTGTGAAAAATAGACAAGACCAGATATTCAGTTCCCAAGAACCAGTCTGACTATTTAGTRCCATCTCTGTTTCAGGACTTATTCAGATATTTATACAAGAACTTATGGTTTAAACCTTTCTTCCTTTGCTATTCAGGCTGAAAGTGCGCAGCAAAATGCTAGCGAGAAATTCGACAACATGTCAGAAGTAGCGAGACAAGAATTGACTGACTTCAAGTCAAGACGTGTACAGCAGTTTAGAAAGAACTTGGTAAGTTATTATACCTACCATTTTTAATTAATCCTTTTTACCTGCTAGCAATCAAACGGGGCTTAAAATAAAACTCTGTGCCAAATTGGATGTTTTCTAGCTGAGCTCCTCTTATGCCAGTCCCCTTGAGCTGTCACATTTACAATTACAAATGACAGTGTCTAACTCGAAAACTAAATGTTAAATTAGAAGCTTAGTATTTTAAAAATGTAAAAAAGAATGTAAATAAAATATATTGTATTGTATTGTATTGCATTGACTGGTCACATTTTGGTCGTCAAATTTTATGGGAAGAATGAGGGAAGGAGTAGGAGGAGGTGGAAAAACAACAATGTCAAAATGTGATGTTTTTTTTCTTTTCATCTTCAGACTGAGCTAGTTGAGCTAGAATTAAAGCATGCAAAGGTAGGAATAATTTTATTTATTCTGATGATTTTGAAATATAAAGTTTTTCAAATTTTATCTTGTACACCATAGTATTATTTGTTGATTCAGGCATGTGCAATCTTAATGTGTGCCGCCATCCCTGCTTGACTCATGCTGACTGTTGTACTCCTTTGTTTCTTACGACAGGCGCACAACCAACTCTTGAAGAACACATTAGCAGCACTAAAAGAAATCTAACAGGTTTACATTAGGATAAACAAACTAATAAAATGTACCGAGATGTCGTAATTATAATTCTACAAAGCTACGATGTAAAGTGAATAAAAAAATTCTTATGTGTTATCATAGAAATGTCGCTGTTACAATCCATTGAAATGCATAAAGCCTACCAGAAGACATTTCCACCCATTCAAATTCACTATCAAGCTTGTGATTTAAGAGTAAACGTCACTGTCATACTATTGAGAGGTACTGTTGCCATGGTGATGACCTGCTGTAACCATGGTAATAGGTCGGCACCCACACTGCCTCTTTATATGGCAGGATTGGTGGAATTGATTGTTTTTTGTTTTTTTGTTGTTTTTTTGCTTTTAGCAGTTTCTTTCAAAATGGAAATCAATTTGTAAAAGTAAAACAAAATAGGGAAGTGTTAATAAAAAATGTTTTAGTTTGCTTTACATTAACTTTACAAGTGGTGCCATTGTAAGCCATGCTTTATCTAAGGGCATGTTTCTTTCGCCTGGGTAACTCCAGATAGAAAGCACGGGTGGGGTGTGCTGCTAATGCCATGACCTTGCCAATGCGACCCGTGTTCCAGTCCTGCCGAGCTCAGTGTCGTATGCGAGTAGAGTTGTTTGTTGGTTCTCCAAGGGTTTTGCTTCAGGTTCTCCAATTATCCTCGTTCCTTCCTTAAAAAACGACTTCTAAATTCCAATTTGATATTTTGGCTTTCACTTAGTTTAGAGTCTAGTTCTGTTGTGATTGTCCCACTGGCACTGTGATACAACAGCTAAAGCTTTTATTAAAATAGATCAGATGGAGCTACTTTTAACTGAAGTCAGTGCAAGTAACAACCTTTTCATTCAGATGGAGAACAAAAACCCAGACATCTTAAAATTGTCAAGAAAAAGCACGAAAAATTCTTTAAGCAGTTTCAGCTCGGATAGGGTGGTCCCAAACCAAGAGATCACAGTAAAAACCCAGTCCCCTTGATGAACCTTGGGGGAATGACATTCTTTGATTCTCTTTCACAAAACCAGTGAACTTATTATAATATTCAAAATATTATTTGCGAGTACAAAATCATAAGCAAATCCCAGTTTCCATTTCATTTGAAGAAAGTAAAATTCAAGATCTTCCTGTTCAAGATCAAGATTGGTGTCACGTGATTATAAAAAGCGCGGGAAAAGGGGAGTCCGTGACGTCAGTCCATATTCGCTATCATTCCGGTAACTTAGTATTTAGCAATGAAGAACGGAAGCACGAGGCGAAATCTTTGCATCCATACAAATATTGAAAAGCCAAGAATATTTATGGTGATGTTATTGTTCCTAATTTTCGCACGCTTCATCTCTGACCTTATTTGGAAAGAGTTTACGTACGAGAGCCTAAAAGTAAACTTTCAGTTCCCTATTAGCTTAATACGGATAGCTTTATTCAGTCTGGCCATGGTACAGAAGCAAAATGAATTCAAAGCTTCTAAATCAGTTCATTTTTTAAATCCTTTATTATACGGACGGACAAAGGATGTTTACTTAAAGTGAATTTATTATTAGACTTGCATTAATTAACCTTGTTGATAAAAGAGTCAGTCACTCGTCACACATGATGGCTCGAGTCATCAAAACAAGTTCCGTTATCCTCTACTATTTTTACTAACCCCTAACTCTTAACTCACCAAATCTTGACATTACCTCTATCATCTAAGCTTTATGTATTTTATCTGGTAATAAAATTTGTTATGCTTTCCCAAGATCTCTGTTTCAATGGCCAGTGTTATTTTTGTCGGCTTTTGAGCGGCTTTAGTCTCRACCTAATTGTCCTGACTTCTTCCAGGGTCTGAGGAACATCGTGTTCCTTTGCGTACATCTTTGGCGAATACTCGTGAAATCTGTTCTTGGAAAACCTCAGAGGCTTGATGTTAAAGCGCTGGGGATCTTTAGAGTAGCGTAAAGCGATCTCACCCATTATACACAACTGTGTCTCGCTCTTGGACCCACCAACCATGCAGATGTCGCCAGTAGGGACTACAATCACCAGCTCTCCTTCTTCCACATCTAAGCCATCAAGAAACTGGGGCAACAGGATGACAGATGCAGATACCGATCCTAGATTATCAAGGTAATAAACACCAGCTTTGCTATGCTTCCATAGCTTTGAGGCACGGTTTTCAAGGCGATGCTCAAGGTTTCTAATAGCAACATCCATAAGTACTTTCTCTGGGATATTCCAGGCGTCGAGATAGCTACGTAGGATGTAGTGAAGTGAGCCCTCTTCGTTGACAATGGCTAGGGTATACCCAAGTGTTGTTCCTGGGAGGGTTTTAACAGGGAAGTACAGAACATCTGAAGGCTTTTTAGGGTCAATCTTCCTCAACATGTCCTTGGTAGACTTCTCCCAGGTTTGTGGCTTCAGGACTGGCAAAATTCTCGGTCTAGCTATTGCAAAGTCGGGCATTTTCTCTTGGTCAATGTTTATTCGAGTCGATTTAAGAATATTTTCATTTCCACCGCTCTTCGTTGAACCATCTGTCGAGGTATGTGTAGTTTTCTTGGACTTCTTCAGTTCATTGTCTCCAAAGGTCATGGAAAAGGTTCCTTTACCTCCAGAGTTTGAGGACGTCTTGGTAGTAGTTGAACCAAACTTACTACTGCTACCAAACGATGACTTGCCCAATGAACTTCCAAAAGAAGAAGTTTGGTAAGAAGAGGTCTTGTAGCGTGACATGTTGTGCAAATTCGACGACTTCAATAAATTTGGTAAATGTTACGTTCGTTTATCGTCACACCAAACTAAACTCTTCGACTTGTTTACAGTGCTGTAAAGACTTCAACCTCAAAGAACAGTTGCTCCAGTTGTTTTCTAGCCAAAATTTAACCACTATTAGAAGAGCAAACGAATTGCCTTATTCAACAGCTCGACTCCAAACAACAGTGTTCTGGTCCAGCACTCCTTTATAATGACATACCTAGCATGTTTTGAACTGAATGAATCAAAAGTCACAAAGGATATTTCATTTAGGGATAGTATTACATCCATTCTTGGTATAGCGTTTCATGTTACTAGCATTGTGACCCCATCATTGCACACTGTATGATAAGGGAATTTTTAATTGATTGCTTTGGTCTCGCTCAAGTGGCTTGCTATATTAGATACTCACTATCAGTCATAGCATAATTTTAGCATAGAATTTAATCAGTACGAAAAAATCTTTAGTAGTATCTCAGGTCGACTTATGAATTGAAATTTTCTTCATAGTTTCCATAGGCTAGTCCATTTGCAACTGTGTGTTAAATATGTTGGTTCATTCATCACTGACCACCTACCGACCTAAAGAAGGATGGACGAGGGCCTTTGGAAGAGGACTGCAAAGCTCCAAATGGGAAGAGAGGAGAGGGAATGAAAAGATGGTATGGAAAATTAAATAAATTTATAATAAATGAAGGAGTTCGTAGCTGACAAGATGGTCTGACGATCTGGATGACCTGCAGACACAGTAAGCCGATCAATACTCAGTTAAACAAATATTAAAGAGGTACAAATGACGTCAATAATCCTGCTTAGCTCATCTTAAACTAATTATTCGTGAATTAATTTCAGTTAAAGAAGTCGTCAAGAAATGCCAATCCTACGCAAACGCCATCACAATCATCATGAAAATCACACGAGATAACACAGTCATCACGATCATTAAACCCTTGCTCTTGTTTACCACTAGGGTCCAATAGATAAATGAACAGACAACAGATCAAGCCAAGACTAGCCTGCTGTGCAGACGTTTTTAGTGTCTGCACAGCAGGCTAAGCCAAGACAGGCCTTCGTCTGCTCACAAATGCACACGAATTTAAAGAATACGAAATGTTTTTTACTGGTCGTCTTTCAGCTTTTCAGATTTTATTTACAATGGGTTCAAAGATTTCAAAACTTGCTAGTGTTATCAAAAGCGTTTTTTTGTGGTCGCTCAAACAGACTGGAGTCAATCCGTAAGTCGGTCAAACTTTGTTATTCGACTGCAGATGGTCGGTCAAACAAGTTGTCCTTTGACTTTAGGTGGTCGGTCAAACAGGTTCTTGCATGACTTTAGGTGGTCGGTCAAACGGGTTCTTGCTTTACTTAAGGTGGTCGGTCAAACAGGTTCATGTTGGACTTAAGTCGGTTGAACAAGTTGATTTTCCACTTTAGCGATCGGTCAAACAGGTTCACGTTTGATTTGAATTGGTCGATCACACAGGTTATGCTGCCCTCGAGTCGGTCGGTTAAACAGGTTCTTGTTTAACATGTACTGTTTCTGTCTCAGAGTCATCTATTTCCCCTTCACTATCGCTCGCCTCGCCGCGATCCTTTCGCTCCTTTTTCGGTGGCGGCGATCCCGAATGAGACCGTCGAGATTTCCGTCGATCCTTCCGGTCTTCACTCGATTGTGATTGTAATTTTTTGGTGGATAATTCGTCTTTGATCTCAATGTTATCTTGCTTGGGATCCACTTGTTCTTTATCTATTTGTTCAGGTTCGATTTTCTTTTCCTTGTCGAGGATCTGGAGCACTGATCTTGGTATGTGTGCTCTCTGATAAGAAAGATGAAAATTAGCAAGGCTTTAGATGCACTGGAGGGTCAGCTAGTTTCCTAGGACAACCTCCAGTAGAAAGGAATACCTCCCCACCCCCACCCCCAAGATTTGCCTACCCATCTTTAAGGTGTCAGTAGGTCAAGAACGAGCAACTAGTGGGCGTAGGGTAATGCAGTAGTAAAGACGACGAGAGATAAAAAAGAGTGACAAGTTACATTGTAATGAAATGCGTTACCTGATGTGGAGTGAATGATTGTACATGTGTTACCAAATTGTCACGCAACTCAGGACATATCTGCGGGTACAACAAAGCAAAAATCATAAGTTTTGGAGCCTACTCTGTGGTCATAGGATACGGTAACGGTGCGGTGGGATTTTTATGACATCTTTGAATAAACCTTGCACAACACGCAAAATTTAACACAAATCAAACGCAACTATTTTTCCTTATACTGATTAAATTGAGTATATTTTCTTAGAAAATTTTTTAGATCCGTTAATGTCTTCTTACCTCGAAAGCGCTCTCCAGTTGACGTGGAGGAAGTTGGAGTAAAATAGAGAAAGACTGAGGCTTTGTCATCTGAAAATGAAGAGAAATAAAAATCTGTCAAGAATATCAGCCAATCAGCACACGAGTTATATTTTGTGCGGTTTTGTATCTATCTGCCGCTCGGAGACTTGCGAAGTGCGAGCAAAATAATTAAAGTTTAAAATAGTTTAAAATTAAAAAAAATAAAGAAAAATATCAATATCGTAAATAAAACAGCTAGTGAGCTTCTAAATGAAATAACTAAAAAAAAAAAAAAGAGAATGAAAGCTTGAGTTTAAGGTCACCCATCCATTTACTAACCCCGCTCAACCGTGCTTGACTCAGTATCTTGGAAACCCCAATTTTTGCCAGTGGACCACGTTTAAATAACAATAGCCGTGAAAACAATGCACCGAATGGACTAGACTTTTTAACATCGAATTTTCAACGATTCCGTGCGTGGCAGAGATGCAAGGGATTAGCCGATATGGTCTGGGGGCCGGCTGGTCTCTCCCCTGATGCTTTGGCTAGAACATTTTCTTGCGTAATCCGTGCACCAAAGGGCAGAAGGATTTAATCGCCGTCAGGTCCGAAGTCCATACGCCGCCCCAGCTCTGCGGATGTCTCGGGGGTATGGCACAGTGGAATCGATTTTTTTAAAAATTTCTGTCGGTGGACGTGGGTTCGAATCCCATTATCCGTTTTCAAATTGTTAAACATTGTTAATCTTTCTTTAAATCTTTTTTTTTTTTTTGCTTACGTTCAATCGCCAAGTAAGCAATCTCGATCCAAAACGTAGACCTGTGCTGTTCCTGGTTTTAAATACTGCCTGGAAAAACTTTACTGCAAGAAGTTTTACTCCACTTGACTTCTATGCATTTTTCTCGCTATATTACTATGCTTTCTGTTCAACTTTGACTGGAACTACGATATCTTTAGTACATAAAATAAATCAACCTTGAATTTCTTTAAAACGTGCTGTAACAGCTACACATGCGCAGACGTTTTTCTCAAGTGATCATCAGAGCAATATATTAATAAATAATAAAGTAATATATATCAATAAATGTCATCAATCAAACCTGGCAACACTTGACAAACCCTTGCCATACTTTAGGCTGCTTCCAGACCTAATACAAGAAAAAGTAACAGAGTACAATGAAGGACATATTGAACGAAGGCGGGATGTTTGTTGGCCACAGGGTACAAAGGGTTACCTTCGTAAAACAAGTATAAGGGAGCTGCACCTTCGGTGAACCAGGAGAAGGGTGGAAAGTGGGATGGGAATGGAAGGAAGAGAATGGGAATAGGGAGGGAGAAGAGAAGGCACAGGAGGAGAAAGGAAAAGATGGAAGGGAAGGAAAGGGACAAGCATAGGAGGAAGAAGGCAGCGGAAGAGGAAGGGAATGAGCATGGACAACAGGCAAAACCTATTGATTCTCCAAACTCTGATACACGTACCTGTTTTGTAATGAGTTTTGATAAGAGATTCATGACGAATCCGATCAATCTTGGGCAAATACTCAGTGACTGGATTACCTGTGGAGATGATCGTAATGAAAATGTTCAAACCGTATCCCAGGGAGATAGCTAGGTATCCTATCAAACTAGTATCAACAGAGGATTTCGTTCTTCATTGTACTGACACATTTATCCAAGACAAAACCCGCGTACAAGCACACAAAAAGCAGGAGGACCAGGATCTTGGGCAAAGGATAGCTTTATCTGTTTAATTCTCTTTAATTAATAAGTAAAGTGTTTTCATTGTGATTACAGTTAAGATAGTTATTATGCCGTATTAAAGAGTATTCACTTGGCTTCCTACACGCAACATTCCGGTCCCCCTCTCACGCATAAAGACATTGAGATACGTATCTTTTTCTTGCTCGCATTCGGGGTGTGAAGGGGTGGGCCTTCTATCCTAAACTAGTTAGTACATACAGTGTACGCAAACACCTCTCGTTGGTTAACTTACGGTTCTCATGAATAACGTTGGTAGAGGATTGACTTCCATTAACTGCTGCAGCACGATAGCCAGCACTTCTTGTGTGTAGATGGTCTTTTCATCGAAACAGTATCTGATAGCTGTACAATAAGATTCAGGGTATGGATCAATTCAAATAATGTGTCTGTCTGTCTGTCTATTAGGGTCTGTTTTACTATTGGATGATGATGACGATAATAAATGATGTTGATGATAATGTTGATGACGATGGGCATCATCACGATGATACATGCTATTACTACAGATGATAATTGTGGCGGTGATCAATACATGGTGCTGTCGATGATGACAAGGGTGTGATGGTTAGGATGATACATGATGCTAATGATGATGATGAAGGTGATGATGATGATGATGAAGGTGATGATGATGATGATGAAGGTGATGATGATGATGATGAAGGTGATGATGATGGTGATGATAATTGTGATGGTGATGATGATGATAATGATGATGAAGATGGTGATGATGATGATGGTGATGATGATGATGGTGATGATGATGATGGTGATGATGGTGATGATAATGATGGTGATGATGATGATGGTGATGATGATGATGATGATGATGGTGATGATGATGATGGTGATGATGGTGATGATGATGATGATGAAGATGATGATGATGATGATGATGGTGATGATGGTGATGATGATAATATGTACGATAACAGTGTTGTTGTTGATGATGTTGTTGATAACAGAATTCATTTATCTTATAGAGCAGACTGCTGAGCAGACTACTGCCGACTCACCTTTCATAACAGATCGTATGTCTCCTTTAGACTCGTTTGCATTTGCTTTCTTTGAAGGTTCTATCATGTGAAGAGCTACAAGTAACTCTGATGGACTCAAGGGACTGGTACCTGATACCTTGCCTTCACCTGAGAATGTAGTAAAATGTAAGGAGCATGCGCAGTGCAGTATAGCCATCAGGGTGGTTTCCATGTCAACGCGACCTCGAAAAATTCTATACATCTAGGTTGTTGGCTTTCGTCAATTAGAATTTGACTAAGACAGTGGAAAATTTGATTAATGGAAGCCAAACGTTTGGAGTCTGCCCTAGGTATGATTATATAAGGTACATGTAGACCAAGTGCAATCGCTAACTCACTGGATATGCTCGCTAACTTAAGAAGGACGCAAAAATTGCTATAATGAAGATATACGTTTACTATAAAATCATCGTAAAGTGAATGAGGAGACCTTAAAGACAAAAAGGTAAAGGTAATATATTTTATTTCAATAACGCGGGAAGTCATTCTGTCAAATTCTCTCGAGCCAGAGGCTCATGTATATAGCGCTTGATGAGGACAATGGGGTCAGTTTTAAATATAAAACATTTTGTTTCACTAATAACTTACTGTGAAAACACCCCAGGAGCCTATTAAACACTTCTTTGACGACATTGGGTGACTGTTTGATGAGTTTAGGGAGCACAGCGATGATCTCTTGCTTTTCGAGTCCCGTTAACACAGGGATCAGGAAACGAACGTCAGATACACGCCTGTGGTAGAGATCTTTGACCTTCTTGACTAAATCAGGCGAGGGCGTGACTGCAGTGGATGAAAAAAAATGATGAATGAAAGGGAATGGAAATGGAAAAGAAAGAATGACAAGGGATAGACTTAGAATACAACTTGTTACAACACGATAAAATAGAAAATGGGAAAAATTATTCAAAGGAAGGGAAGATAAAAATAAAAATGGATAAAGTATTCATGTAAAACAACAAAATACAAACGAAAAAGCTACCTTTGTCTGTGATGATGTTGAGGATACGAGCGATGAGTGTTTCTGATCCTGTGGGGCAGTTTTCCACTAAATGTAGTAAATCGGGAGACGCCATGCCGATAGCACGTATCTAAACAAACACATCTGAATTACTTTTACATTTCACACAATTAGTATCGATAAACAAACGATATAAACTACACATGGGATTCCTGTGGTAAATCATCTGCTGCCACAGGAAGCCCATCAGGTTTGGGTTGAACACTTACAGGGGTTTCTAGATGTCGTATTATAACTCTCTTTATCATCTGAGAAGATGCGGTGTAGATAACAGCAAGCCTAAATATATCAAACAAAAGCATTGTTAGCGATATTTTTTGTAGAATCAAACAGAGTAAGTTGTAGTTTGGGGATGCTTTCCCTTGAGTTCTATTCCTTTCTTTGATTGGTCAAACCTAAACCATGAACACCTAAAGTATGTCTGGAATGTTGAACATCGTCTTCTGACCAATCAGATGGGACCGTTAATTAGAAATGAATTCATTCTTGCATGTGATTGGTCAGAACACGATGTTAACATTTCAGACATATTTTAGGTGTTCTTGGTTTTCTTAGTTTGACTGTAATTCCCTTTAATATTATTTCTCTCTCTAATGGTTATGGTAACAGTGAGAAGACACAACAGGCGTGCAAATAAAACAAATAATCATTCTCAAGAGGTTGGAAATGGCATATTGGTTATTGGTACACTGTCTCAAATTCAAGAACACTTGGATTAAAGAGCTGTACTCCCTTAGAACATACAAGTATATAAGAAAGACCCCCCTTCAATATACAAGACAGAAAGACTCCCCCCCCCCCC